GCTCGATCTGGGTGATCTTGAGGGGTAGCAGTTAATGCTTCCTGGCCGTGATCAATGGCTTTTTGGAGGTCTCCTAGGTCTCCTATCCGCTTAAACCTCGTAGACAAAAAGGATCCCAGGTTGTTATGTATGGTCGCTGTGAGTGGGTGATCTCGGGGGGTAGCAGCTAGTGCCTCCTCAGCATACCCAATCGCTTTTTGGAGGTCCCCCAGGTCTCCTATCCCCTCAAACCTCGAAGAGAACAAGGACCCTAGGTTATTGTGCGTGGCCGCTCGGAGTGGGTGAGCTTGAGGGGTAGCCGCTAATGCCTCTTCGGTGTGCTTAATGGCTTTTTGGAGGTTCCCAAGGTCTCCTGTCCGCTCAAACCTGTTCAATAATATACTTCCAAAACTTGCAAGCGCATTTGTGTGTTCCGGGCCGCTGCGTCTCAGTCTCATTATTTCCTCATTCATGGTTGCAGCCAATTCCAGATCATTTATGTCACCCAGCCGCTCAAATCTTGCTAACAACAAGAAGGTCATTCTTTCTAGCATATATGGCCTAGAGGGGTTCCCTGGATGATATCCTTCGAGCGCCTTTTCCACCTGGATAAATGACTCATTGAGGTCGGCCATGTTACCTAGCCGTTCATATCTCCTGTAGGAATCCCCACCAGGGAATCTGTACCGGTCGTATACACTCTCTAGCTGACGCCGTATAGTGAGGATACTGCTACATGCGGTTGCATAGTTGACCTTGTTCCGTGATGTTTCATCTATTCCCTCCATTGCCGACACCCATGTGATGTCGAGATCTCCTTCGTCTCCTGTATGCTCGTATTTGTTCCCCTGCATTTTGCACAGCTTTGCCGACAGGACCGCTAGATTGGGATGGCAGGGGTCCATGGTTTTAATTGCGCTTTCGGCTAGTGCAATTGCCCGATTAAGGAACCCTATGTCGAGGGTTTTCTCGTATTTAGAAAAGAGTGCGTCGCTAGCTTCCATTGTCCCACCCAGATCTTCTTGCCATCCTGCGACCACAGGATCATGGCCCGATGTTCCACTCTTATAACCTCCCACGTTCCGCTCACTGGGTGTCTCGGCCATTTTATATTTGGAAACCCCAGTGCTGTGTGGAATATTCGTCCTAGCGCTTTCAACGCAGCCTGACACCGTGTTGTTCAAGGATCTAGTGATTGAACGCGGCTTGTTGATGTATATTGTGACGGATGAGAAGCGCCTCCTGAGATGAGGGAATGATCCTTGATTACTAACCAGGATGCAATTAGCATAACCTAAGACAGAGATTGGACTTGCAGAATACCTATGGTAGCTTTGAAAGCGACTTGACTTCGGAATACCTTATGACACCCAAGCAATCCTGGTTCTGGGTTTCCACTGGTAAAGACCCCTCCTGGTTGAACTCAACCTTTAGACCCTATTTTGGTCCCTCGGCCTCTCGGGTTCAGTTCCTACTCTTGAATTCGAGTGCGCAAAGTTCTTATATCAGAAAAGTACAAAATCAGTGAATGACTTCCTGAACAAAGTTAATTGGCATTAATCTCTCCTAGGTTGGCGGTCCCGCATACCTTTCTATGTTGGGGCTAATTTGTTGCTCAGCTTTCTTCTCCTCTCCCGTATTCGTGCTTCTCTTGCAGGTAGATTTCGGTTTCCCCCGGGGGAATAATTGTACTGAGGCAGGGAGTTCTGGGTGGGTTGGCGAGTGATGTAGTATGTAGGTTCAAACACTGCCAGGGTTCCGGTGATGTAGTATATAGAGCTCGACCAGCTTCTTATAATATGTAGGAATTGGCAACAAAGACATGCCTGGGGTATGAATCGGGTTTGGCCCCGCGAGTCTCCTATGATAGAGTATGATATTTGTGCACCCGGCTGCGCTCGTATGGGTAGGGTCAGCCTCATACAGTGAACATCATTCATCTTAACATATGTACTGTACCACCAATCGGGCCCCGTTCCTTAGACTCAAGTAGTCATGGGCTGACCGCAAGAGCTAACTACCTGCTACGTAGCCCATCTTCCCGCATTCTGTCCTGGGTCTTGAATACTCTGAGAGCACCCTCTTCGGAAGGGGCTGGATCAGCGCTAGAAATGAATGATTATTTTACCCTACACCGATTCAACGGTTAGTGTTTGAATATTTAATAGAGCCGCACCTCGCAGCTCCTATGCAGCTGAGTGGTTTGACGTGGCGTCCCACCCTTACCACTACAGCAAATGATATAAACCACCGCAACGGGGAAGAAATCCGCGAATTTTTCACCTGTCAAAGCTTTTCTCACCTGTCAAAGCTTTTGCTATTCAGTGGGTACAAGTGATCCAACACGCACAGTGCAGTAGCATCTACTGGGATGGCAGTTTAGCCCGCGAGATGGTGCAACTCTGCCTTTCTAGAGGCAGCGTAGCAATGTACCCCATTCTGGGTGACTGACAAGGCAAAAAGACGTTTCCGGGTTTTATAGTACCGGCACCTGTGTAGCTGAATACGGAGAATGTATTATGGAACTAACTGCCCCTGATGACTATCATCCCATATTGGTATGGATAAGGAGTTCCGTCTGATCCTCTTTTGAAGCCTGTTACAAGTTCTTCGGAATTCTCCCTGGAGATGAAGAGGGTTCTTTGAGCGTGGTGGATTGACTTGGCATGAAAACTCTTGGCATTGAGGCTCAGAAAAACCCCCACCTCTACCCTGCTGTAAACTTAGATCCTGTCAGTCGCCAGGCACAGGTCAAGGTCCATGGATAGAAAGGAAACAATCGGAATATTTTGTGGTGGCAAGGCAGAAAATTTGCCGATTGATAGATAAAGGCAGTGAAAAGAAATATACTATTGCATGAATTAGAAACCTAGAGTGCAATGGTTGCATCCCTATCTACTTTCTTAGAAGCATGAATTTTAGTGATCCCGAAGCCCGAAGGGCCCCCCAGGGCTTAAGGCGATGCACCAAGCCAGTTCGTATGATATTAAGGCCAATTTTCAACCACTCCTACTAGCTTCTGATATCTCGGCGGTGTGGCATTGTGTTTTGTCTCCCTCGGAGGTTGTTTGTATCCACCAGAACTCATTATTTTCTATTTCTACTAGCTATCTGCTTACTGCCCTATAAGATCTTGCCTATCTTTTTTTCCCCCCAATCTTTCGCCCTTACCTAGTACTCGGACTCAAGGCTAAACCCCCCTTGGTATATTTCAACCATTGGACGACGGTATGAGCACTGTCTGGACCTTGGACGGTTTGTGCATTGCTTTTTCAGGGACCTTGGTCTGGGCGAGGGACAAGGCTCTTCGCTTGCCGCGACAAGGCAACGAGCCTCCAGGTATCATCCTAAAAAATTGTGGGCAACATGGCGATGATGTAAATTATCAATTCCTTCTCTCTTGGGAGATCTTCATTCATCGATGGCCCAGTCCGCGATTCTCTGGGAAACTCAATGCAGGCCATCAGCCATCACACCGCACCGTACTGCACCCCGCTGTGCGCCTTGCTGTGCGCCGCACGTGGTGAACCTAGCTCCCGGCTCACGCTCGCCTGAATGACGTTTGACCAGTAGGGAAAGATGGAAATTGTTACCGGGCTGGGCAAATCGGGAGCGAGTTTGCGCATTCCACAGAAAATTCCTGCCGTTCGCTGCAATCAATTTCACATACCGACTCC